GCAGAAAAATTGCGTTCATCATCACTTTGGCCATCCGAGAAATGCAAATCCAAGACCACAATGAGATACCATCTCACACCAGTTAGAATGGCCGAATCAATTAAAAAGTCAGATAGGCGAAACAACAGTGTGGAGAGGATTGGAGAAATAGGAAACCCTTTTAACGTGTTGTGGATTGTAAACTAGATCAACATTATGGAAAACAGTATGGGCGAATTCCTTTCCAAGGATTAGAAACTAGATGTACCCATATGACCCAGTCCATCCCAAAAGGATTAACTGGGGATATACCCAAAGGATTATATAAATCAATACTGCTATAAGAACACATGCCACATGCCTATGTTCATGCGGCACTCTATTCACAATAGCAAAGAACTTGGAATCCACCCAAATGTTCCATCAGTGAAGGAACTGGATTAAAGAAAATTGGCACATATACACATGGAATACTATGCAGCATAAAAGGATGAGTTGTGTCCTTTGTGGGACAGGATGTAAGCTGGGATAACATCCATTCTTAGCCAAGCTATCACCAAGAACAGAAAACCAAACCCGCACTGCTTCTACTCATAGGTGGAGAACTGAACAATGGAGAATCACTTGACTCGGAAGGGTACTCACACACCGGGGCCTTATTATGGGGAGGGGGGGAGGCGGGGGAGGGATTGCATTGGAGTTATACCTGATGTAAATGACGAGTAGTTGGGTCTGACGAGTTGCATGGGTGTAGCACAGCACATGCACAAGTATATAGTATGTAACAAACCTGCACGTCATGCACAAGTACCCTAGAACTTAAAGTATTAAAAATAATTTGCACTTAAGATTTTTTCCTTCATTTCAACTTTGGTGAATCTGGCAATTATGTGTCTTGGAGTTGCTCTTCTCGAGGAATATCTTTGTGGCGTTCTTGCTCTGTCACCCCTAATCTTCCACTTTCTAGTTAAGAAGCAATTATAAAAATTAAGTGAGGGTCAAGGATGGCTTTGATTGCCATTATTTTTAACACCATATTTTAATTGTCTTGTATATGTGAGGTTTGTCTCCCTGCAAAGATCTTCAGACACTTGAAGATACACTTTCCCACTTGCCATTTATTTGTCCTTATTGGGGCCTGGCAGTATGCCCACTATGAGTTCTCAATAAATAATAAGTAACTTGTTATGGGAAATTATTGAAAACATCAGTAGATTATTCATAAAACAGCTGATCTTCCTTTGTAATCCCATCTTACGGGGTTAGTTGTAAGGGCACACACTTGGAACAGGTTGGAGCTAATCTGAAGCTAGCTCTACCACTACTTCAGAGTGTGATCTTAGGTTCCCTGAGCCTCTATTTTTCAGCGTTCATTGGAAATGATACAATTTAACCATTTGCTGTAAGAACTGGATGAGACAAGGTACACACATTGTCCAGGATTTACCTGGCACAATAGCAAGCAGTTCAATGGTAGCTTTAAATATTATTTGACATTATATATCATCACTGCTAATTAATAGTTGTATAAGTAATTCCACAGTATTGACTAATTCTTTTTCTCCTTTTCTTGTTAGAAGGCAAGATTTTGTCAAGTTTAGAGAGAGAACTGATTCACTGGGACATGGAAACCACTCTTGTCCAAAAGGCCACATGATCCAGCTTCAGAAGAAGTTAGGATTGAAATGGGAGGAAGCCAGAAGAAAAGATTTTCATCAGCTCCTGAATTAGATCTTTGTAAGTTTAATGTAAGTTATATACATTTATATTTATATCTTTGAGTCCTAAGATATTCTGACAGGTGTTAAACAAGGTGGATAAATATCTTTAAAAGTAAATGATATGTTTTCCTGCTTTTTCACATAATATAGTGAATACGAGTAGTCTTTTTCAGATAAAGCTGAATTATCATGTTGAAAATAAGTTTTACCCTATGATAATAGCTAAACAAATGCTTGATGGGGACATTGACATGACTCCATTAGAATGCATGGCAACAGGTGGACATAGACTTTTTGACACTTTGTCCCTCAAGCATTATGATTTTGCTAATGCTTGTAGTAGCCTTCTTTATTTAAAGCAGACTGTTGTCCCTAAATGTGGCCAATGCACGTTCCTCTAATACTCCTCTAAGTCCAGTTCTCAATGTTTTACAAGACAGGAAATGAGAAGCAAAATGAGTAAAGGAAGAGTAAATAAGTACTAGGTTAGGGTCTACGGATACCCAATGAGCCTGAGAGCATGATCATTCTCCAAGCCAAAGGCCTTAGTAACACTGAACAGTTATATCCCTGACTCATGAGGTGACTGATAAGAAACTTTGGAAGATGATAAATTTGAATATATTGCATGAGGTTTTATAGAATATCTGAGTCTGAACTCTTACCTTGAAACTAATCAAAAACATTTGGGTGAAAAACCATAAATTATTAAACATGACATATAAATACTGATACATCTGAAAGTAATGAAGAATATTATTGTTATAAAGAATAAAAGTTCTCCTCCTTGGAAAGGGAGAAACATTCCAAGTTATTAAAATAAGAACAAACCCAGAGAAGCAATAATGAATGAAAGCAGTTTATGATTATGCTTTTTAAACTAAAATTAACAAATATCACACATATATTCCACACTATAATTAAAAATATGAACCATTTTAAGAATACATTTTAAATATGGAAACTTCATCTTATTTCTTTTATTAATATTTTTAATACACATCATATTTTGATAAAGTTTAAGTACTTACTTTAACACTTCAAGTATCTGATCAAAACTTTTCTTTTCTTCTTCTTTTGCTTTTAATTCCTCATTCAATTCATTTATTTTTGCATAAAAAATCATTGTCTTACTTTTAGTTGCTTCTAAGTCTTTAAAAATTGCTGAGCGTTTACTCTGGAAAAAAAATACAGGAGTGTTTTATTTTAAATACTTGGATTTTCAAATCTCTGCTATTCAGGGACACAATTACATTGGCTGTGTGAACAATTAAAAGTTAATAGTGGGCCACACCTGATGGCTCACTCTTGAAATCCCAGCACTTTGGGAAGCCAAAGCAGGAGGAGCCAGGAGTTCACTTACAGCCGGGAGTTCAAGACCAACCTGGACAACAAAGCCAGCACCTGTTCTCTACCCAAAATTGTTTTAAATAGCCAGGTGCGGTGTTTCACACCTGTAGTCCCAGCAACTTGGGAGGCTAAGATGGGAGGATCATTTGAGTATAGGAGGTCGAGGATGCAATGAGCCATGATTGCTCCACTGCACTCTGGCCCAGGTGACAGAGTGAGACCCTGTCTCTAAAAACCAACTGAGGTTTATATTCTCTACTGTTATATCTGATTAATGTTCTAAAAAATAAAAATGTTTATGCTCTCTGCCCTACACAAACTTGCTCCCCTTTCCAAACACACACCTAAATGCACACTTTATAAGCATGTCATTTCAAGATGCAAACATGTGGTCACTGGTTTTCAAACATGTACGAAGTCCATTGGCAGGAGGACAAGAATATATATTGTTCTGATCTTTCCAGCAAAAGAAGGCAATATTTACTACCAGCACAGTTTTCCATGGTAGGCCTGTGCAATTCCAGAATGAACATTTGATTGTGCATCTATTTTTGTGTCATCCCTTTATGACTGTTGGTGTTCAAATGGAACTTAGTGACTCACTGATTGACTGTTATTGAATTGTTTCCCACATTCAGCATGGCTGCTAATTAGTGTTACTCTCCCAACTGATTCTACAGATCTCAATGGTTCCTTCTGCCTCCACTATCTTCTATTTTCCCCATATGCTTCCAAATACTTTCTTTACTCATAGATTTCAAGAATAACAACTAATATTTTATATTTATTTTCCTATAAAACCATACTGTTTGTCTAAGATTTTGAACATTGGGTACTGCATTTGAATTTTCACATACTTCCTGCTTTGTTTCCTTCCTTTTCTGGAAGTTCTGAAAATTTTCTACTGATAAATAAAAGGATTTTTTTCTCCTTATACTAGAATGCAGTGGAAATACAGCTAACTAGGATTTGTTGATAGGCCCATTGGAGTATTAAGTTATTTGGTGTGGGCATCGGGGGGAAGCCCAAAGACAGAGAGCAGACAGGTGTGAGTACAGACACTTTGAGTACTGCATGCTCTCTATCCCTAAACTTGACATTTAGATCAGATTTCATCATTCATTTCTTAGTCTTAGCTGAAGATTCTCTTCTTCAAAGGAATCTGGTTTTGTATAGTTTTGCATATCTTTTAGCACACTGTAAAATGTATTTAGCTAATATATTTATGATCTTGTCATCTATGCTCATAAGCAAGATCACCAATGGATTTATTTCTTGCATTATTAATTTTTGGTTATGATTGCAAGATTTTAGTTTCATTATAGAATGACTTTACAAGATTTCCATGCTTTCTTATGCTCTGTAGGTGGTATTTGTAGAGAGATTCATAAAGTATCTTGACTGATTCTTGGTTTTATTGGTAGAGTTTGGACAAATTAAATTTCTTCTATAATCATTGATCTATTCTTGTGTTTTATTTCTTTTGACCCAGTTTTCACCATCTGTATTTTATAAATAAATGATACAATTCATATAGATCTTAAAACAAATTCCCATGCAAAGTAGTATTCAATTCACTGTGTATATAATTTATACCCCTTTTAATCATTCCCATGGCTGTTAATTTTCATTTTTTATTCTTTGCCCTTAATAAATATGTTAAATATTTTTAGATTTTTTAAAAAATTAAAATCATTTATTGGTAATCTCAAAATATTATATTGACCTATGTCATAAATTTTGCTACATAGTTTGTCATTATTGATCATGTATAAATAAGTGATAATTTATATTTTAGTTATTTCTTAGCACAGAAGCAAATTAATAAAAAATGTGATTCGGTAATTTTTCTAGTAGTGCATATACTTTTTATTTCTTATTGCCCTATATTTTTGTTATTGATTTCTGATTTTCATTGTATGCAAACTTGGGTGACATGACCAATACAATAATATAACAGCATCTATTTCAGTGCCAGACTGTCTGGGTTGGAATTGCAACTTTACCACTAATGAGTTGTATGAACACCTGTACAAGTTAATTAAAAAATAATGCATCAGATTTCTCAAATGTAAGATAGAGGTAATAGCACACTCTTCATAGGCTTATCATGAAAATGAAATGATGAGCTGTTATGTCTGTGCACTTAAAACAATGCCTGACACACAGAAAACATGCAGCAAATATCCATTATTATTTTCTCTGTAATTTTTTAAAATATTTCTTTTGAGGACCATTATCAGGCAAACATTTTAAAAATGATATGAGGACACCTCCCTCTCATGGCCCACATGCTTCCCACCAACAAATCCTATTGGAACCACCTTTGACATATATCTAGAGGACATATTACCAGGTTAAACACAATATTGGCTGCATAAATATCTTCTTTTGAGAAGTGTCTGTTCATATATCCTTCACCCACTTTTTGATGGGGTTGTTTGATTTTTTCTTGTAAGTTTGTTTAAGTTCTTTGTAGATTCTGGATATTAGCCCTTTGTCAGATGGGTAGATTGGGACACAACTACTGGCTAGCACATTGGAACACTACGTCATTTGAACATATAAACTGCAAACTGAGGAATCCACCTTATTACTCCGTTACAACCTTATTTAACGAAACACACATAATATTCAAGATGTGTGCGGAGTCATAAATGATCCTTTAACTATTTAAGACAACGGTACAAAAGAGCGTCATATATCCTTTCACCTAAAAAAATCCTAGAACCAACAATCCTTATGGCTACATTGATATGGGTTGTTTTGATTTTTTCTTGTATGTTATGTACTCTTTAATATTCCAGTCTTTGTAATTCTGGATCATTACCCAATGTCATGTAATGGCGAGTTAGGATTGGGCAAAAAATTGGTAACTTTCATCCCATTCTGGATACAAACTACGACCTGTTCACTCCTGGATGGTAGTTTCTTTTGCTGTACGCCACATGGACACAAAGCGCAACAACTCAGACAACTGGGATCGTCATAAACTTACACACTTCTGTACCGCACAGAGAACTAGCATCAACACTGAACAGGCAACCTAACGAACTGGGAAAAAATCTTTTA